TCTCAAGATTTATTTATTGAGCAAATAAAGGTTGAAATACATTAGCATAAAAGAGATGTGCATGTCATCATTAGTAACCTTGTGTATCTTGACATCATCCCTCTTCTTAGCAGTCTGCAGTGCCTCCAGGTGGTGAAGGGAAGAGTCGTAGTCCACCAGTTTTCTTCCCCTCTTGGCTACTTTCTCCTGCAGATTGAGAAGACCCAGATATAATATGTGTGTGTGCATGTGTGAGCTGCTTGTGTGTGTTTCTGGGATTTTGTGTGTTTACTCTCAGGCCTTTTTTTGTCTGTCTGGCTTCTGTTTACCTTCTTCCTCTTGTCTTACCCTGACATCTGGGAATTGGCTCACGTAGGACTCCATGGTGCGTACGGCCTGGTCTAATAGCTTCACCTCCAAGTCATTCCACAGGAGGTCCTCTCCCTTATTAAAAGGCGCAGCATAAATATTGCATTAATTATGTATGAAGAGAAGGAGAGAGAACGCGTTTTGTTCCCCTGGCAATCCTGCTGCTTTTGCACTTGTAAAACACAAATGTGCAGTGGTAGATCAGGAGCTGCTCTGGGTTTGATGTTATCACTGATGTTCATACAGACCTCTACAATGGCTCCTAAATCTTCCTCTCCAGCCCAGTCAGTTTCATAAGCATCATACAGAGACTGGGAAAGGCGCCTCGAAGCTTCACGCATGTCTGTAACAAGCAGAATTGTCTGTATGAGGCCTGCAGAGGACACAAATCTACAGCTCTGAAGTATATAACACATTTTCACCTCTCACTGCATTGATGTAGTTCCTCATATCCTTGTATATCCGGTTCCCATCAGTCTGCAAATAGACAAAAGGTTTGCACGATTATTTGTCTTTTAGATTTATGACTTCAATGATGTTTGATCTCTGAGTAAAGTCAATAAATTATCCCAGTGTTTGCATGCACAGTCGAGACAGCAGTGGAAATGTTTAGGTTTAAAGGGACAGTTCAACCCAAATCAGAAATACATATTGTTCCTCTTACCTGTAGTGCTGTTTATCAGTCTAGATTGTTTTGGTGTGAATTGCAGAGTGTTGGAGATATCAGCCGTAGAGATGTCTGCCTTCTCTTCAGTATAATGGAAGTAGATGGCACTCAGTGTGTTGTGCTCAAAGTGCCAAGAAATACATTTGAAAACCTCAACAGCAATGTCTCTTTACAGAAACCATGACCTGGTTCCTAAAGATAATCCACAGGCTTTGTTGTGAGCAGTTTCATGTAGGTGCTATTTTATTTCTACCAAACTACACGGTCCAACTCTATTGTTGCACAGAAGGAAGTGTGCATCTACTCATGGCCAAGAGATTCGTTGTCATGATAGCACAAGATGTAAACATTAGTGGCATCCTCATTTCTACAACAGCCTATTATCCCAAAAACAAATCCCCTCTTCTCCAAAGTTCCATTTCTCTGAAAGCACTCAATCCCTAAAGCTAGTTTCATTCAAAACCCTCTACAACAAAGGTCAAGTGCTGGCTAAAAGCACACCAGAGCTGTACCCACTCTTAGCTTAATGCGTTCAAACTTTTAAGGGGTATTAGTGTAAGTGTATTGGTGTACGTATACCTCAGTATATGTACTGTGGTATGTGTATAGTGGTATGTCTATTGTAGAAGATGTATTGTGAGATATGTTGTGATGTTTGTGTTGTGGTATATGTACTGTGGTATGTGTATATATGTGTGTGTATGTTGTAATATGTGGATTGTGGTTTATGTATTTCATTGTGCCTTCCATGTTTGCAGTGTATTGTGGTTTAAACTGTATATTTTAAATAACATTTTAGGTCTACATGTAAAGGAGTTGAAAATTAGCAATAGCTATAAACTCAAGATTGGGTTGTCTTACTGCAGGTAGTGTGTGTTTCAGAATAATGGAACTTCGGAACAATGGGATAACGGCTGTTGGTCCACAAGGGCATTTTTCTGACTAACAGGAGAATTTTAGGCCATTGGAAGAATGGGCAGTCCTTGAGTAGATGTATGCTTCCTTCTACGTCGTGGTACGGTTAGTGGATGTAGTTTACTAGAAAGAAAATAGTTCCTACATGAAACTGCTCATAACAAGGTCTGTGGATTATCTTGAGTAACCAGGTCATGATTTCTGCAAAGAGACATTACCGTTGAGTTTTTTTAAATGTATTTTTTTGGCCCTTTAAGCACCACAAGCTGAGTGACATCTAGTTCCATTATGTTAGAGAGAAGGCAGACATCTCTACAGCCGATATCTCCAACACTCTGCAACTCACACCGAAAAAATGTAGACTGATAAGCAGTTCTACAGATAAGAGAAAAAATATGCACTTTTGATTTTGGGTTGAACTGTTCCTTTAACTGGGAGTCTCACACACACATTAAAGTAACTCCATATGTATTATTTTCTCCCATAGCGGCAAGATGATTACCTGCTGGTCATTAAACTGCTGGAGAAAATGTTCAAACTGGTCGTCTTTGCTCTCCACTGTCTTCCCCAGCTTTTGCAGCACCTGCAGAAAAAAGAAAATACCTCAGAGCAACAGCTACTTAAATAAGTTCTCTCTCTTGTTATCTGGGAAACAAGAACTTGCACACTGTTACCTTTTCTTTGCTTCTGCTCAGCTGTCTTTGGACTTTTTTAGCAAAGTCACCAGAGTTGCCCTTTGGACTCGCGCTCTCGGCCATGTTTTGTTTCGACTGTGTTTATTCCTGATGATAAAGGGAAACAGAGAGGAAATGTTAATATTTAATGTACAACACGCTTGCACCGTGTCAGATAGATAGATAGATAGATAGATAGATAGATAGATAGGTATTTATTTAATTCAAATAGTTCTTAATCTGTTTTCTCATCTTTCAGCCTGTCTCTGTTCTGTTGTAACTCATGACTTGACTTTTTCATAGGAGTATTTATAATAGTATTTAAATGTAATGATATTAGATGAGGTGGCAAAAACAGGGAAAGTGAAGCACATCTCAATATCCTCTTTATGTTCACCTCAGTGAGCAAAGTAGTAAAAAAGAAGTCCTCATGTTGCCTCCAGAAGCCTCTCAGCAGTGATGGAAAATGTATTCGGAACATTTACTCAAGCGATAATGCACCACGCTATAAAAATATTGCATTACAGGTAAAACTCCTGCATTCAAACTCAAGTAAAAAGTTTATTTTCCAGGAAGTTTTTATGCAGCAGAATGGCTCCTGTCAGAGTTTAGTTTGAGGCTACATATTCAATGTTAATTTGCTTTTAATCATTTATTCAAATAATATGTCAGTGTGGGTTTTCTCCAAGTACTCCGGCTTCCTCCCACAGTCCAAAGACATGCAGGTTAATTGGTGACTCTAAATTGTCTGTAGGTGTGAATGTGAGTGTGAATGGTTGTCTGTCTCAGGTCACCAGACTATCACAGACTATCTCTGTGATAGTCTGGTGACCTGTCCAGGGTGTACCCCGCCTCTTGCCCAGTGTCAGCTGGGATAGGCTCCAGCACCCTTTTATAGCAGCATTTTATTGCTGTAGCTGGTGGAGGTGAAGCTCAGTTGACTTCCGTCTATACTGCTGTGTGGTTGAATCTGTTCTAAAGTTCATATATTGTAGCTCCTGATATGTTTTGTTCGTAAAATTACATTTATAAAGTTGTCTAACTAGCTATAGCTGTAAAATGTTTCCCTCTAAAACATACATTCATTACATTTCATTTACAAATTTGAGGTACTTGCACTTAAGTATTTTTATTTTATACAATATACAACTTTATACTGCAACTACACTACAATTGAAAGGGAGATATTGTTCTTTTGACATTTATTTGACAGCATTAGTTACTGTCAGTGTTTGGAAGGTTACTTTTGACATGTAATGGGCTACAAATTGCTAATTACCTTGTAAAAAAGGAAAAAAGTAATGTAACTATTTTAATGACTTCATCAAAGTAATGTAACTGATAACATTTGATTGCTTTTTGATTACTTTTCAAACAAATGTTTAGTTGTGGAAAAGATTTAAAGCAACAGAATGCTTTTGTAGTCTATGGGCTTTTTACCAAAAAGAATATATTTGGATATCAGCCTTTTGAAATCACCAACATTTTGATTGGTGAATGTAGTTAAATTACATTTGAATGAATGAATTACTTTATTTTAAACCAAAATAAAAACTAAAAAACAACACAAGACAAAGATAACAGTGTACAAAAAGGGGGCAGAAGTAAAATTTAAATCTATCTACCCCTTTTTTACATTTCTTCTTTTAACACATATATTATTTTAACAAATTCCCAAATCTATTTACAACTAATATACAACTATTCCCACCTATTTACCACCCAATTAAATGAATAAGTAATAAACCCAGTTTATTTACAGTCCACATACTACCCAGTGTTACAAAAGAAATATGGACCCCCACTGACACAACCTTTCCTTGTCTATTTATCTGCCAAAAATATCTGTTTTGTGTAGTTTTTAATTTTTTTTCTCAGTACTAAGTGATTATAATTACGTAACTTCATTAAATGTAAATAGTTACTACCCAACAGTGGTTACTGTTACTTTTCAGATTAAGATTTTACACACAAACATGTAATAATCTCACAAATTATTACATGATACATATGTCACCTTATCACCGCCTCACAATAGTAAAATGCTATTTACACATCAATGCTTCAGTTAGAATAATCTAATAATATCATATTTAATACTAAAACACTCACAGGGGCTTTTTTATTGCAGTTGAGTTCGACACTTTTATTCAAGTTCATTTTCAATGCAGGACTTTAACTTGTAATGGAGTCTTTTTTTTTTTTTTACAGAGTGTTATGAAATATATTAATGTTTAATAAAGGCTGTGAATACCTCCTCCATTACTGAGTAGAAGTATTAAGTAGAAGAAAATTAAACCTCTGCCCCTGTGTGACCTGTGGAGGCTTCCTGCATCAGCTGTAGAGGTGGAACCACACTAATCCTCTCATAACTACACTACCCAGAGTTCCCTGCGAACAGGCCACTCCCATCAGTAGAATGGCAGCGATGAACTTTAACCAGAGTGTTTATGTATGTGTTTTTGTCGGAGGAGTGGCTCTATGACAAACTATCAGATCCCCGCGCTGTTCGCCGACCTGCAGGACATGATCATGGGGAGCACGCTGGCCAAATGTGCCGTCACCGACCTGGGCATCCAGTGGGCCGGCTGGGCCCTGGCTGCTGCCTTCAGGACCGAGAAGTTTTATGATCTGGCAGGTAATGAACAACACTGGTGATCATTTCCCTTTGTGAGTGCTGACTGAAGGCCATGTGCCGACTGGTTTTGCAGCCTGACTTGTTTTGCAGAGCAACTGAATTGGCGTTAACTCAATTTGATAGAACAGCGAAACACATTTAAACGAGATCAAACAGCCTTCACTAAACCATAAATCAGATATGAGTTGTAATTTAATTTGGAAAAAAAATGTTTTTGCTGTGCACTCACACATTGAACTGTCATCATTATAAAACCTGTTATCTAAAGCTTTGTTGTGAAACACCAGAGAGCTCCTCCTTCATCTTAAGAAGTTCCAATCAGCTTAACGTAATGGTCCTGTGTCAGCAGGGGCGTACAGAGGGATCCTGGGGCCCTCTTTTCAAACCACACAGGGGCCCCAATCATCAATGCACACAGACAGTCTCCCTACAAGTAACTGCTGCTACTAAGTCTCACTTTTGCATTTGTAAAAAATGTTTCACCTCTAGTTCAAACTGCCTGAACATGATTTACAACAGGGGTGGGCTATATACCAATGATAATCAATGTACTGCAGCTTGTTCCACTTGGGATGTATAAAATATATCCTGAGCACAGAGTATAAATTGTCATGTCATTTATTAAGCCACCGGCACAAACATGATATGTTACACACACAGTCTGATAGTGTGAGCAGGCGAGGCGAGTGTTTTTGACTTTGCAGGGCTCCAAACAGCAACCATTAAATTGCATTTTTGCAACCATGGAGCACCAGTGCAACTCAGAAATATTATTAATATATGAACTGGAGAGTTGTTACCTAGGTTCATGCTCACAGTGAATAAATCCTCATATTTAACGGTATTGCTGCAATGGTTTAACGTTCCGCTAACTGCTAATACTTAACTGTTGACAGGAGCTTCAAGTACACGACAAATTCTGTCCTGAGATGAGCCAGGTGCTTCACAATAAAAGCACCAGTGGTTCCACTCTGATTTATTTTATTATAAAAATACATAATTTAACTTTAATAAAGCAGCACTTTAAAAAAAAAGTTTTTATAATTATTTTTTTTTTTATTAACTTTATTGTATCGCCTAAAAATACTGTGATATTATGTCCTCTAGAGCGGAAACAGTTTGTCAGCCGGTCAACAGAAAAGTTACCGGCAACTTTTTTTTTTTTTTTTTTGGATAATTGAGTTTCTTTTATGGCTATTTCCTTGCAAAAATAAACTAAACATTACTCAGAAGTAAGAGATTAAACTGAGAAATGAAATTAAACTGAGTTTAATAAGGTGATTGACACTCGTGACAAGTTCTGAGCCTAAAAAGTTGAGTATACGAGCAATGACAAAGTCAGGGGTGCCTTCAGGCTTAAAGTTAGACAACTACCAAATCATTCGTTACATGTAGAACAGTGCAGCTTACCTGTCGACACAAATGACTGATTTCTTTCACAATTTCCCAAATGAATCACCTTGACACTTCTCTTTGACTCGTCCTCTCCTGGTTTTCCCCGTGCGCTATGCTCCTGGATATTTTACCCTTGAACTTTGGAACCAATCGTCTGCAGTATCCTGGGTAAAAGATTTATTGAACACGCCTTACTGTGCAACAGGTAGAGCCATCCGCTGTGCCCATGTCTCAACACACCCACTCACTCTGTCTTTTTTACTCTCCCAGGATCGGGCACTTTTATACTACTTGCCCACCTGAGTCGTATCTGGGGAGGAGCCAGTCATGTCCGTCAGAAGGTGCAGACTGGGTTGGTGACAGCATGGGGACTCAGGTAAGTTAAGGCAGTGTTGACCCCCGTTGTTCAACACCAGGTGACATTCCCTGCTGCACAGTTAAATAAAACTCCAGCAGAGGAATGCTGATTTTATCCTCTTGCATTGAAACCTGCAGAGTTTGAGTTATGGAGGGTCCTTGGCGAGGTCAGGGAAGGAACTAATGGATGTGAAACCTTAGAGTCAGGTTAATGAATAATGCCTGTGGTTAATGTGAGTGGACGTTAACCATGTTCTCTCCGCAGGCTGGGTACATTCCTCTTCATGCGGATCTTGAAGGACGGTCATGATCGCAGGTTCAACAATGTCAGAGACAGCCCAGGGACTTTCTTTGTATATTGGAGTATTCAAGGTACTTTGCAGAGATGTGAACACCCTCTTCTCATTGCTGTAGTCCTTGACCAACTCAGCACCCAAGTGAAGGGAGGGTTGCATGTATAAATCACTGTCAGGTGCCTAGCTTAGTATGCATTTATTCCAGGTACTGCAGAAGCTGTTGGTTACTGTAAATTGAATGCATTTAGTTTATGGTGGTATTAAGGCAAGGTTGGTTAAATATGATTCATTTTTTCCTCTTTCTCCCAGCCGTATGGGTATTTATGACCCTCCTGCCCACCCTCATGCTGAACAGTGAGAAGCGAGATGTGCCTCTGGGAATGAGGGACTACATTGGCTGGACTATTTGGGGCCTTGGCTTCGCTGCTGAGGCTATTGCTGACCAGCAGAAATGGCTTTTCAAGCGTGACCCAGATAATGCTGTAAGTTAGCAGGCCTCATGCTGTGCAACCCTTAATGCATCATTCACTCAGTGTAACTATACTGTCCAATTTGCTCTTGTGCCTCCAGGGGAAATTCATCCAGAGTGGGCTGTGGGCTTACAGCAGACATCCGAACTATTTTGGAGAGATCCTGCAATGGTCTGGCCTCTGGCTCTCTGCCTCATCAGTGATGGAGGGTTCCCAGTATCTGAGTGTGGCATCACCTCTCTTCGTCTGGTTCCTGCTGCGTTACGTCAGCGGTATCCCCATCCTGGAGAAGCAGGCCATGAAGAAGTGGGGGTCTGACCCAGGCTTCCAGGACTACATCAAGAACACTCCTCTGCTCTGGCCATGGCCTAAATTTTGATGTAACAATGAACAGTGATGAACATTTTCTCAACTGCTGTACCAATAATTGCCTCACACAAAGAACATACGCACATTCAAGTCACTGTATACGACACTTAGGACATTTTTAGAGCAGCAAACCACTATAGGCTATGTAACAGTTTAATGGAGGAATGGCGTCCTGTGCAAAGAATGAAATCATACTCCTCCTGTGTTTGTTGTAGTCCGAGTTTTTCTGTTCTTGTTTTGGCAGACTGTCCAGCAGCATGTGCATGTAAGTGCATGTAATTCCCTGTGTGTGTGTGTGTGTGTGTCTCACTGGCATTTTCAAACACAAGTACACAAATCAGTTTCACTATAACTCGCAGTATTCTCAGACAAAGCACTTGTCTTTATCTGGACACATTTTCCCCACAAATACAATATGCTAATAACACAAGCCTATGGCATTTTACATTGTATAAATTAGCCTAGCGGCGAGCAGAGATTTCCTCTTTTCATATGAAGCCAGGGACAACTGCAACATTTAACAAAGGGAACATTATAAAATCTGGCTTCAGCTTCTGCTCACCAGTCTGTTCTTTATCAATTTCCCTATTGATTTCTGATCAGTTTTCTGTGTGGGAAAGGAGTAAGCCAGCACAAGGCAACTATTTTCTTACCTTAGAGTCTGGCCACAGTGTAGCTGCCTGGTGCTAATGTTCTTTCAACAGGATATTTACCCTCTAAAAGGGTGCTGCCTTCAGGGAGGCCATGGCACTCGTGTGTAGTTTCAAATATATGACAGTATTGGAATTTAAACCCCTGTTGCTCAGACAGCTGTTTTCAGCACATTACTGGTGTTTCCACCAGTTTGAGATGATCATTACAAGCAGCACTGTTGTCATCTGTCTTGGTGAAATGAAGCTCTTGGACCGTTTCTTCCTCACCATCATGACTCCTTTTGGCATGTTTCTTTCCAGTAGTAAAGACATGAGTTTGACGTCATTATTTCACAACGCTCAACTATCAGAAAATGGCATCAATAAAAGGAACTGATAAGCATGGATATGTGATATCTCAAACAATTTAAAACCAGTTCTTGATTCCCATCCCTGCTCATACAGGGGTTACCTCTTAATGCTTCCCCTTTAGTTTAACACTATTAGCTTTGTCAGTGCTGTTCACGCTGTGAGCACTGTTAGCCGCCAGCTGAGATGTTGTTGAGATCTGTGTACAGACAATCTCAGCTCAGACTCCGGATCATAAATGTGCTCTGAATGTTGTTAACAGTGTTCTGAGACATAAGATTTTAAATGAGTTACGTGATTTTCCTGTCACTTTGTACTTCTTTGTAATTCTGTAAAATACATTCCAATACATTACACCAAGTCTTTACATATAAATCTCTCTGTGGTGTGTCGTTATTGAGAGCTAAGGAAGTGCACTGTAGTCAAGACTATGAAGCTCACCTCTCAGTCTCTAAATTTAAAAGGTTGAGTATTTCTACTGATTCTTAGTTGTGTGATTGTAGAATCAAAAATTAAGGTGTGAATGGTATCTTAAAGGTCCAGCCTGAAGGATTTAGCAGCATCTCGTGTAAGGTTGCGAAACTGAAACTTTGCCAATGAGATCTACAGTGTCTGATGCAAAAATGCGAGTGGCCCGATCTAGAGCTAGTGCTTGATTTGTAATTTGTTATAAGCCAACATTCTAAGGTAACATAAACATATTTTTGTGTCAGGTAATGGACATAGATGTTAATGAAAACATGGTTATGAATATTATGGACTTCTGCCAAAACGTGCCCCTAAATTCAACACACTGTACCTTTAACTGGTGGTTTGAAATGTGAACGAGGCCATCAGTGTCAAACTGGCCCTTGTAACTCAACAAAGGAGACACACTAGAACTGTCGGTGTGCTTCATCATAACTTGTGTGACTTTTTTGTACATTTCTGAATCCAATCATCACTTCCACTTCACTCAGTTATTGTCCAGTCATGTGGAAATGAAAAGAGGCAGTGTGAACTTTTCCCTCCAGCTTTTATATTTCTTTCATTTTGTGTGTACAACCAATTGCAACACTATGAATCCTTTCCAGGAGAGACTGTCTGAAAAGAAGAGCATTTATCCCTGTATAAACAGTGTTGTTTTTCCCCTCCTGGTCACTCTTTCCAGTGTGGACTGTTCACAGTAATTAACACTTTTTTTTCCAACATGGTCAGGCATAAGTTTAACTCAACATTTACACTGCTGTCCTGACAACTCCTCCCAGGCAGTTTAAGACCCATTCACACCATGACAAGAGTGAAATCTCTCAACAGCTAGATGCACTGGCATCCCACAAGTAACCTCAACCGTTTTCAAGGTGGATGACCTAACCTACAAAAGGTTAATGCCAATGACTTCCAGTCTGTCTCTGTAAGAGGGGAAAGCAAGTGTTGTCTTTGACTTGGCTTCTAAAAGAACGGATATTTTTAGGTTAAAATTTACAAATGGATGCAGTGCAGATCACAGTAGAGCCTTACACAATAGGACATTTAAATATGTGTGAACTTCAACCATAAAATCACCTTGCCGCCCCCCACCTCAGAGCATTTAAGGGTGACTTCTGTATTTTTCAACCTGGACCTCAAATGTAACCAGAAAGGGCACGTGTGCACCATCATCTAATTTTTGCCACTGACTGGCTCAGATGATTATTTTAAGTGTCTGACAACATTGTGGAAGGGATTGCTAAAAAACAGACCTTTTTAAAGAGAGTAAAAAGACTTTTTGTTTAACCAGAAACAGCCTGTAATCACTGCTGGCAAACCCACCAGGCCCTATTTAAATAAAGTTATATGTGTATACAGAGGCAGCATATTTTCACATCTAACTAGGCAAATTAAAAGTTTATTTCAACCAAACCAGAGTTGCTGAGCACTGGAACAGTGGAATGATACAATGATAAAATGACTGTTAATTTAAATGGTGGCTGGTGGGTTTAACGCTAGGGATTTCACAGCTGCTTCTGGCGAAGCCAAAATGATCATACTCTAATAAAAAGGTCTATCTTGGCACATCACATCTTGGAACAATTGCCCATTAACATTACATTGTAACTGATCTTGCTAATACTGCACCAATGGAAAAAAAACGTTGTTCCCATTAGTCACTGAGACACAAAACCATGGGAAAGTAGGGCATAGGTTTAACTTCCCCTTTAAGATTCAGACAGAAGACAACACAGAGCATTTAAGAGAAAGCACACAGCATTTTTTTTGGTAAAGGTTAGAAATGTATTTTATAAGTTACATGGATTTTAGAGCATGTACTTGTGTACAGAATTTGTGCTAATAGTTAATCATATAATGCCACAGCAACTCAACTGGCTAATCTTACAAAGTAATTGCCTTTTACATGGGATTGCTCGCAAGCAGCCTCCCACAGTACAAACATTACACAGAGCAATAAACATTAGAGGAGCAAACTGATCTGCTTGAGATTACAGCCTGTGACATAAACCAGTGAACAGTGTAACTGATCATCACTGGCAGCGCAAATATTAAAATTGTGTCCCCTTTTAAAGAGACTAATGCCAATTACTAATAACATCACACCCAATCAAGCTCGCAGATAATGGCCGGGAGAATCTGCTTTTGAGGACTTAGCTGTTTGTAGTTACAGTATCAGAAGGAAAGGGTTTAAGAGATTGTAAACATTTACAGCAGGATTCACTGGAGGATGCGTACAAACAAAAACTTCATAGAAATGAAATACAAACATCAGAAAAACTTAAAAGATAGCGTTCTGAGTAGTCACACATTCAATTACAACCTACAATGAAATGCCTAAGAATCAGTCCTTCAACTTCTGAGTGACACATGAGTTGAAACACTGAGATTATTGGTTTTAGAAGCAGGTCACAATAAAACTGCATATTTTCATCTATGCACACATTCTTCAAAAAGAGAAATATACAATACAGTCGAGTGTTAAAGGAATACTTCACTACACCCACAAAATGACCTTTTGGATATAAATTCATCATGCCGTGTTGCCTTGAAGTTGTGAGGAGAACTTTGTTTTTCTTGCATGCCTCCACAGCAAATGGGGAACATATTGATTTATTGATTGGGGACCATGTTGAACAGCAGAACTGTATCAAAACATCCATTTACAAACTCTCACACAACTCCTGCAGCATAATCCAAGTCTCATTTATCCAGTCTTGGCCTGGGCAGTATCAAGGTTTTATGGTATGCTGGGTTATCTAGAAATCCCACAGGTATTATTTTCAGTACAGGCAAAAATACAGACGCTCCTCTTTCTGTTAAACTGATACAGAGATGCAGCATTGTGGCGATGCACTGTAGTGCACAACATGCTCCACTAGAGGTCAGTCTCTACTGGTGAAACAGGCAGCTGGACTGAGAAAGATGGTGACTGCGAGAGGTGGGGATAACATTACAGAACTAGTAAAAAGGAAAAATGTCTCTGCCTCTGTTTGGGAACTACTGAGGATACAACTGGTTAAATAGACTTGGATTATAGTACACAAGTTGTGTGAATCTGTAAACGAATGTTCTGATGTAGTTTTGCTGTTAAACATGGTCCCCAATCAATCAATATATCATTAGTTTCGCCATTTTCTGCAAGGGCATGTTAAGTTTTCTACACACATTCAACACCGCAAGACAAATAGATTTACAAATGGTCATTATGTGGATGAGGCATTCCCTTAAGAGGTGAAGTGATAACGCCTTGTTAAACATTTAGCAAAAGCATCAGCACTAAAGACACACAAGTGTGCATAGATAGGTAAACCTACTATTTGGTTAAAAAAAATCCTTTCACAAACACGTAAAATCATCAAAATACAACTCTTACTATTGTGAAAAATGAAAACGATTATAAGGAGACCAAGATGGAGGTGTTTCTATCCATTATCAAAGCTGCATCGTGTTATGTGTTGTGCATAAATACAAAAAAACGCACTGGTTGTTATTGCAGTATAAGTAAAGGTTTAAGTGTAGCTGCTTTGGATTATTTAAGGAGAGGAGATGCAAAGAATTTTCCTTGGCCAGAAAATCCGACTGCTGATTTGCTCTTGCTTCCAAATCTGCAACAAAAGAGTGCACATAATGGCATTTAATGGAATTAGGAGTCTAAGTCAATAAAACAGAGTCAATGGAGGATAATGAGATATTTTACAGTAGATTAACTTCTATGAAAGATGTTCAAATGAGT